TTTTTAAGCATACTTTCCATATAGCTTCCCTATCTAAGGCAGTTGAATCTCCCCATTTGAAGCTCAGAACTAACAACAGTATTATCATCCATATATCTGTTCTACTTTGCCCCATTCCAACATTTATTTAGTGTTTGCTATGTGCCAGGCAATGGGTAAGATAAAGATTATAGAAAAATAAATTCTAGAAGTCAAAATCTAATGAAACATACATAAATCATACATAAATACCTACAAAAATTACTGACTGCCAATGATGAAGGAAAAGAACATGAAGCTATATGAGAGAATGAACAGGATTTAGTAAAACCAAAAATGTAGGAAAGAGCATTGCTAGGTGAGAATGGAGTGAAAAGAATAAGGCCAACTCATTGTGGTAGATAGGGAGAACCATAGCATGGGGTAAATTTCAGGCTTAGAGTGTTGATTCCTTGGGTCATGCTGAAGACAGTGGATTTTATTCAATGTGTAATCAGAGGCAATCAGAAACTGGATAAAACTCTAAAAATTTGTTACTATCACAGCCATCAGACAAAGTTTGATCTTCCACTGTACCTTGATGCTTGGCACATCCCAGACAGCTTCACAATCCTAGGCTCCACATTTACTCAATATCCTGGTGTCTAGAGACATTGCTCTCTATCTCCAAAACTATTTCAACTTGGAAGATCAAATTCCAGTGTTTCACCTTGGACCATGACCACTGATAAGCCCTACTCTCTTACTACCTACCTGACCTTTAAACTTGTTTATCTGACTTTTTTTTAAAAAGTTAGAATAAAAATAATAAAATCTCATTAAAATAAGATAAAATAAAAATATAGACACAAGAAAAGTTCTTATTTTCCCAACCCCTATACCAAGAGAATCTTCTGAACTTACATATGAATCTTGTGAACTTACATGTACAAATAAGAATTTTTTAAATTACAAAAATGATTCATAACCCATTTTTTACTGTTTTTCACCTAAAGATGTATAAATCAAAAGCCAGAAAATAAATCAAACTCATTCATTAAGTTCCTTTATATTTTCCAAACAACAGACCATACCTGAGACTCACCTCCAAAAAGGACCTTATTTGCTATTTGCTGCACCAGAAATGTTGACCCAAAAAAACCTTGAAGAGAATATTGCAGTGAAAAGTGGTCTATTTTTGTAGTTGGGAAAGAGCTGTTGCTGTGACCAAATAACTCTTGGGACAAAACAGGTCCTTGCTGACACTCAGCATATGGTAATAGGTCTCACAGGCCCTTAAGAACTGAGGCCATCACATCTTTTCACCACTTGGTTTCCTACTCCCCAACACATGTGCATGACAGGCCACTGGCAGGTGTTGAGGAAACTCTAGCCATGAATAGGCAAGGAAAATTGAAACTCACTTATGGGGTCTGGAAGGAAAGATGGCCAGCAAAGCAGAAATAAGAGATGCCTACTAAAGTAGAACCAATGGAAGAGACAGAAGAGAATTTTAATGAAAGTATAATGGAATTACAGAACAAAAAAAAAAAATGTTTCAAAGCATTTCAGGAACAAGAATTTTAAGTAAAAATGGCCTAACCAAAAAAGATAATTATTGTCTTAAAAACTACATTAGTGGGCTAAGGAATGTGACTTAGTGGTAGAGTGCTTGCCTAGCATGCATGAAGCCCTGGGTTTGATTCCTTAGTACCACATAAATAGAAAAAGCTGGAAGTGGCACTATGGCTCAAGTGGTAGAGTGCTAGCCTTAGGCCCTGAGTTCAAGCCCAAGGACTGGCAAACAAATGAACGAACAAACTACATTAGTGATCAGAAAAAAAAATCAAGTGGAAGAAATACATGACAAGAAACCCAGTGACAGATTATCCTATTAAAAGAGGCTATGTGACTAGAGATCAGATCTAGGAAACCAACCAAGGAGTAAAATAGGCACACAGAAAGAAGTAATATTAAAGAAGAAAATGTGTACAAATTACTAATTTTTGAGACCCTGAAAATCAAGCAACAAGGGAAAATCCTGCAGGCCTGTCAGAACTGTAAGGGAAAACATGCTTCCTCAAATGGTGGAAAGCTGGAAGCAGAGACAGTAGGCCTTACTAGTGCTGAATCCTCAGTGCTTGGTGAACATTACAACAGAAATTGTTAAGTTCTTCCAGAATCTGTGTTGTGTGACCTTAAACTCTAGGGACTTTTGTGGTAGTCTCTTCTATACTCTAAAACACTGCAGATATTGGTGCTATAGATACAAATCACCAATGGAAACACAAAAATTTAAATTATGAAAATGAGAACCGTTCATAAATTAGGTAAGTGCACTACTGTTAAAAGCAACAACTACCTATAGAAATACAATTGTTTGAAGATGGAAAGATCATGGAAACTCTGCGCATGGAATTGTATGCTTCTCACTTACTAGGTCTGGGATAAGGGGAAGATAATTAACCTCTGCCTTAGTTTCCTGAAAAGTAGATAACATAAGTACCACATTTAAAACTTAACACACACTAAGTGCTTAATAAATAACAGCAATGATGTTGCTGCCCATTTCTGCTATAAATGGAAGACAGCAACATTGAATAAAAAACTTAATTCTAGAATCAGAAGACATGAGTTCAAATGACAACTGTAATATTTAACTTTTGAAGTACAAAATCCTAAATTCAATACTAAGTAACACATGTGTGTGCGCACACACACACACACACACACACACACACACACACACAATCACAGTATTAGTCCTTATATGCTTACATTTTTTCATATCTAAAACAAGAAAAAAGAATATGTACCTTTTTTGAACATCCCTCCATCTATCAACCACAAACATCAACCAAATAGTTGCTACCTACAGTATATTTCATAGGAACTAAGAGACAAGTATGAGTAAGATAGCGTTCTGCCCTTAAACTGAAAACTTCAATCTAGTAAGCAACATTTAAAAGACCATCTCTCTCCTTTCCACCTTAGGAAAATGAGCAGAAGGCCTCAAGGGCTAAGTATGTTTTTTATATATGTTTTTAATATGCTGTTTATATATGTTTTTATATGTTTTTGTATAATAATACAAAGGGTAACATCCAATCTGTTAGCAATCATTAGACCAAAAAAAAAGGCACCAATTCCTGGTAATTAATAGTTCGTTATTTTAATAAGAATATTATGAAGCAGGTGGGTCATGAGGATCAGTGCCTGTGGATGAAATGGAAGTCTTAAGAGGAGAGTGCAGGCCACTGTTCATTGTAATGACCCTCCCAAAGAAAGAATATAAAATGTGACATCAGAAACAGAACAAAATTATTAAGAATAAGGCCAAATGTTGAATTTTAAAAATCAAGGCTTGAGTAGAGAGTTAAGTACCAGGGTGGCTGTGCTAGGCATCTGCATTTCTAAGGATGGCTTGGCTCACCTCTAGGCCTTTCGGGGAGCTCATCAATGCTTTCCTATGACTATGGCATCTGCATTTCTGTAGAGCAGAGCCCTCCTAGCTCAACCCATTGAGCCATGCATCTGCACTTCAAAGGATAGCTGGCCTCACCTCCAGACCTTGGAGCTGGGTGCACAGCTCCCATCTCCAGCCTAAGCACCAGGATGTCTGCAGATCATTTGGGCTCAGCCACCTTACTTCATTACTTTGCTTTGATGACTTATTGCCTTGGTTAGGACCACCTAAAAGATCCTTCCCCCCTTCCCCACCGGGCCTATGGATCTTGCCTTTAAATACCCTGAGCTATTTGACTTTACTGCTGTTCTTCACTGTCCCAATATAGTGGGGAGCAGTCGCCACAGCTAATAAAGATTTCTAGTCCAATTGACTGAGTGTTGGTGACTCCTTTCGCCAATAGTGGGTCTGAGTCCCACTAGCCCCAGGAAATTGAGATACTTCATGCATGATCAAAGCAAAGGATAGAATAGAATTCTTTGGCCAAACAGCTCTATTAAAAGTCTGGAACTGTATAGCTCACAATCTGCCTTTCTGGTCTTTTAAGACCTGTGTTCCTTTAAATACACAGCTTTTTTTTTCTTTTTCTTTTTCTTTTTTTTTTGTCAGTCATGGGGCTTGAATTCTGGGCCTGGGTGCTCTCCCTGAGTTCTTCAGCTCAAGGCTAGTGCTAGAGCCCTTGAGCCACAGCACCACTTCCAGCCTTTTCTGTTTATGTGGTGCTGAGGAATTGAACCCAGGACCTCACGCATGTGAGGCAAGCATTCTATCACTGAGCCACCTTCCCAGCCCTAAATATAATACAGCTCTTAAATCATTGTCCAAAAGGAGTCACAATCACTGGATCCCTTGAGAATCACGTGCATCCCCTTTCAAGAGTATTTGGTTTAGCACATACAGAGGGAGATAACCAAAGGGAACAAGTTCTTGATCTCTCTGGTACTTCATCCCAAATAACAAAGACCTTATCCTAAAGTTTCGCATGGAAAAATGCTTATTCTGATTTTCCCATGTAAAGTGGTTAGGAGAGGGGAAAAGTTATTCTCCTTTAATCTTTTAGTTAACTCAAAGACTTAAAAGTACCCACTGCAATACCAGATAACCACTAACAAAATGACCAAAGGCTATGAATTCATAGGGCAGCCTAAATGCCTATCCTTTATAAAGAAACAGTGAATGCCAAGAAGTTTTCATCTGTCACTATCAGTTGACATTTAATAGCTTTTACTTAATATTTTATATTTAAATATCAGAAATTATAATGGCAACTGGGCATGTACTTTAAGCAATATTAAGTATACTGAGACATTTGGTATCTTTAAAGTAGGTATGAAGTAAGGCACCAGTGGCTCATGCCTGTATTCTAGCTATGTAGGCGGCTAAGATCTGAGGATCCCAATTCAAAGCCAGCCCAGGCTGTAAAGTCCATGAAAGTCTTAATCTCTAATTAATCACCACAAAACCAGTAGTGGAGGTATAGCTTAAGTGGTAGAGCACTAGCCTTGAGCAAAAAAGCTCCTCTGTTCAAGGCCCAGGACCAAAAAAAAGTATGTATGCAATTGTATCTATTAAAAAATAAAGTTCAGCATATTTTATTATATTTACATAGCACCATAACATAAAACAAATATATACATTATGCAAAATCACATATTTGGCCTAGATTTACTACAAATTCATTTGAATGGTGTAGAAAAACTTTACAAAGACATTCTAATTTCTGTTCATACATGGGAAAAACATTCTAAAATCCGATATAATTTAAAAGGAATTAAACAAGTGTTAAATGAGAATGATTAAGCAAAAAAAAAACAAAACAGTTATTGTGTTTTACAATTTCAATTAGATAATAAATTAGATTTCAAGTATCTTCAATTGGAACTAACACAAATCAAAACATACTAAAATAGAAAATAGATTCAAAAATTTATCCAAACATTGTGACATAAGAAGTTTTAAGAAACTGTAAATAGTTCTTAATACTTTCATTTTGATTCTCCGTTTTCTCAAGACTGTGTTGTATTTCTTTCAAACACACTTCCTGATATTGTGCTTTCTAAAGAAAAAAACAAAAAATATAGATAATCAACAATATTTGTAACAAAGAATATGAGTTATAATGTATATATGCAACAACTGAATACATAATTTTTAAAACAATTTAAAATTTTCTGAAAGAATATTTACATTCTATTTGTCCTTATAAACATATTTTAAAGTTTCCTTTCCTTTTTATAAATTAATAATTAAATAAGACATATAGTTAATCTCTACTTTGATAGTTTTTTTCAATACACATTTACTAAGCTCCAAATTATTACATATTTAATATGATTAATTAATGTCAGTTTTATTTTAAAATGTTAAGACTAATTTCCATTATATCTGTCATTACATATTTATTCCCATACTATTTTCTACCATTTTTTCTGCCTGAAAGTTCACAGTGATAAGCCGGGCACCGGTAGCTCACGCCTGTAATCTTAAATACTCAGGAGGGCTGAGATCTGAGGATAGTGGTTCAAAGCAAGCCAGGGCAGGAAAGTCTGTGAGACTCTTGTCTCCAATAAACCACCAGAAAACCAGAAGTGGTGCTGTGGTTCAAGTGCTAGAGCGCTAGCCTTGAGTTGAAGAGCTGAGGGACAGTGCCCAGGCCCAGAGTTCAAGCCCATGACTGACAAAAAAAAAAAAAGTTCACAGTGACTCTACAGAGTACTAATTTTACTCAATTTTTTGAGAGAAAAATAATAATACAAACTTTTAGGCAGACCATAAAAGGTGAATGGATTTTAAGACAATACTTAAGACTTCAAAGATGCTTTGAGCTTCAGGAGGGTTGCTATGGATTAAGCTGCACATGTCACTTTTGAGATCATATATTCATTATAAACAAACACTCCACAAACACACAAGAGTACTTGGACCAAAAATATGAATAGGCTAGCAGGGTGAGTCATGCAGTTAACTATGAGACAGGCTCTCTAGGTACTCATAATTCCATTCAACTTTAGCATATATATGAAATACTTAACTGCCCTCTGAACTTTCCTACAGAAGGCAAAAAAACCTTACATTCATTTTGCAGCTATTTTTAAACCTATGCTCAGATTTTTATTAGTACAAAATGGTAAGTTTTAGCATCATATTTTAAGCCTGTTAATTTTAGTAGCTTCAGCCAAGTACTAGAAACTTTATGGCAAAATCCATCATATCTTAATTACCTTACTTTTCCAAAGGCTTTGATACCACAAAACAATATTAGACTTTTTATGATAACAGTAACTTAATGATAAAGGTATTTCCAAAAAAAGTTTAAAAATTGCATTGAATTAAAAATGATGGGCTGGGAAGGTGGCTCAGTGATAGAGTGCTTGTCTCGCATGCATGAGGCCCTGGGTTCGATTCCTCAGCACCACATAAGCAGAAAAAGCTAGAAGTGGGTCTGTGGCTCAAGTGGTAGAGCGCTAGCCTTGAGCTGAAGAGCTCAGGGATAGCACCTAGACCCAGAGTTCAGGCCCCACAGCTGACAAAAAAAAAAAGATAAGTGTTTTAATTTGATTAAATTGAAACTTTTGATAGCAATAAAATTGAACAGTACTGTCAAAGAGATTTAACTTGTGAATCTTTTAAGTTTTAATTTTCTAGACATTTGGGAATAAAATAGTAGTTAACCTGAAGTCTTCACTTCCTAGAAAAATAAAGTACATTATTTTCTATATCATTATCAAGTAGGTACTCATTAAGTAATTTAAGCAGTACTAATGCTAGTTTTTAAGACTATCATAAGTTACTCTAGACCAATCTAGACTATTATGAATATGCAGGAGAAAAACATCAGCAAACTAATTAAACACAGCCAATTTACTATTCTCATTGCATGGCTGAGTGGATCAAAGCATTCATCTCATATGCAGATTTGACAGCACTGAATGTTTACTCAATGCCAAACTATAGCTTTCTAAAATATAATACTCATTGTTCAAGACAGATATCAAATCTCATTGTTTAAATTAATACATCTTTTAAAAATGAAAAATTCATAGTATAAAGTAAGCTGATTATAACTTTCATTAAGCAGCTCTCATACAAACTAATGGGCAACAAATGGGCCTGATGAGACTTTAGAGCAGTGCAACAGATGTTTCCAGAAAGGCAGGAGAACAAATACCTTGATATTAGCCTACCATTTATATTTTTTCATTTTGTAGTGTTATTTTTAATATAACAGTATTAGCTTTGAGTTACTTCAATTTGTATTTTAACTAATAAGCTACATGACATGAATGTTAAATGCTAATTTGTTTTTATGATAATATATTAAGCCATACTAATACTTACATTGTTTATTTTACAAACAAGTTGGTTTTGTTCTTGATTTTTCTTCCTAAGTTCAGCTTCCAGATCTAGTATTTTAATTTGTAAAGCCCTCTCTCTAGATGACATTTTCTCTATTTCTTCAGAAACCTGTAATTTTTATTAAGAGAATAAAATAAATGCATTTTCTTTTAAATGTAATTTAAAGACTCAATAGAGTTAAATGGCACTTTTTATTTCCAAATAGCTACTGAGTGCTAATTTAATTAGAATGTATTTAAAGTGTATTGTAGCTTTAAAAATCACAAATAGTACAAGTCTATCTACTCATCTTTGTAGCCTAAGTACCTGCAAAATTAGCCTGCAATGGTGAGTTGTGTACATTTTCCCTGTTTGGTCATTAGGGACTTTTCCCTATAAATTCTTTTGATGCTGGTCCTGGGGCTTAACACAGGGCCTGGGCACTGTCCCCAGGCTTCTTTTGTTCAAGGCTAGTGTTTGACCGCTTGAGCCACAGCTCCACTTTTGACTTTTTTAGTAGTTTAGTGGAGATAAAAGTCTCACAGACTTCCTGCATGGGCTGGCTTTAAATCCTGATCCTCAGATCTAAGCTTCCTGAGTAGCTAGGAATGCAGGTGTGAGCCACTGGTGCTCAGTTCCAACAGCCTATTTTTTAAATGTCCTAAGACCACTCGTTGTTTTTGATAGTATTTACATTCACCCTGATGTCTAGAAAATTCTCATTAAATGCTGATTATAATTTAAATGGCTGGAATGGAGTGGGATGTTGCTCACAGTGTATACCCACACAAATGCACATGCATGCATGCACACACACACACACATACATGCACAAATGCACGTGCATGCATGCACACACATGCACTCATGTACATGCACAAATGCACATGCATGCATGCACACTCATGTACACGGACAAATGCACATGCATGCATGCACACACACACTCATGTACACGCACAAATTGGCTTTTCACTCAAGCACTTCCAGTGTGGTAGTACGTTTAGCTTAGCCATGTTCATCAGATTCAGACTTCTAGGCACTTATCTGTAAAAATGTTGGGCGGGAGTCACAAGAAAGAGTAGAAAGAATTGGTACAACAAGTAGAGGCAATGAGCTAGTGGGAAGAACTATCCTCCAAACTAACTTCAAAGATTCAATTCTGTTACTGTACAACACTTTGCAAAGACTCCTTCCCAAATACCAAAGGTGATGGTGAGTGAGGGATAATAGTAGGATATGATGTTGTCTGTAGGGAAGAAACTGTGAGGACAAGCAACAGTGCCCAGGCACTGACCCCCTCAGTGTGGGCAATGATGAGAGGGAGTGATGGCCCTTCTCAAATGGATAAAAAGCTAGAGATTCCCCCATAATCCAGCGTAGTTCTGGGACTCTCACCACTTTGGGGGAGGAATGTGAGAGCATTTTCCAGGTCCACATGAGCTAAATCCATGATAAAGTCACCTCTTATTTTCTTTCCAAAGGATGATAAGGCTAAGAAATACATATTACGTATCAGGGAGTACATTTTGTTATTTAGGTTGTTGTTGTTTGGTAATACAAAGGTTTGAGCTCAGGGCTTCAGATTTGCTTGGCTTGTCCTGTCCATTTGAAATAACCTTGCTTTTGCTGGTTATTTTGGAGATGAAGCAGAGCAAACTTTTCTGCCTGGGATGGCCTTGAACCCTGATATTACAGATCTCAGTCTCTTGAACGACAAGATTTACATGCATGAGCCTACAGGGTGGAGTCAGGGATGACACTCTTAAGATCAATTTAAACTGTTTATCTAGAGTTTAAGAAAATCCAAATATATCTGAGACATGATAGAAAAGCTACATTTCAAAGATACCCAATTTTATGCTTTGCAGGACAGACATAATCAGTTTGAGGAAGACAATGGGTAGAAGAGAGTTTGGAAGGAAAGATTAAGAATGTGGTTTTAGACATTCTAACTTTGACACACCATGCTAAATGGAGATGACAGATAATAGTAGAATATCAAAGTCTGGATTTTGGTAGGGACACAAGTATGAGCAGTATCACTCATCCTACAAGGACATTCAACATCCCTGTATTACTAATTAAGAACTGAAGTTCAGAGAAGTAACTTGTCTTTGGTCAGGATACAATGTGTCAGACTCAGAATTCAAATGTAGTTCCTGTTGGATTCCAAAGACTACCTTATATTCATTCTTTCAAGATTAGATTTTTACCCTGTTTGATAAATTTTCCTCTTCTATGAGGTTTTCCTCAATCCTTTCCCCTAGGCTCCAGGTTGAGATAAATACTCATGGCATCCCTTAAGCCCACCTGTTACTATAGCTAAATGCTAACTTCACAGATTGAACTGAAACTGAATTCTTGCTTGTATTTATTTATACAACAAATATTTGTCAAAAAGGCCTTGAGCTTTACAGCTTACTAGATCCTAATTGAAGCCAAATTTTTAATTATTTGCACCCTCAAACTCATTTTATATTTTAGAAGGGGAAAGGGTTATACCTTCAAATCATTTTCTATCTCTGCCTGTAACCCTGCCACATCATCAATTGTCTGGTAAAATAACTCTGGCACAGTAATATCATCTTTTATGCTCCAAGGGAAAATTAGGTAAAGAACAAAAATGTAACTATTCCGTTTACCCTGTCAGCAGAAGAAGAACAATAACTGTAGGTTTAGCATAGGAGATATGATTTGTTTAAATAAACAACTCCTTGGCAAACTAATTAAAAAGTTTCTAAAAAAAGGCCATCTGTACCTTTAGTCTTCCTTCTTCTAAAGCAGCTTCCAGCTGCCTGGCCAGTGCTGTATATTCTGCCGACTTCTCTTTAAGCTTCAGATTGCTGTGCTTAAGACATTCTTCTTGGTCTGCTAGCTTCTTTTCAAGATCTTTATTCTCTGCATCCATCTGTTCTAATTTCCTTTTTACAGTAAATATATATTTTAAAACTACAATGTTATAGGTAAATATACACTAATTTTAAGTCAATTCAATACTTACTGTTTAAGGTTTTCACACTTTAACTGAATGAGAGAATTCTCTTCCTCAAGTGAAAGCTTTGTCAGAAGACTATGACTTCCATCAAACTAAAAAAAAAATATATTTTCTTGGTTATTTTCTTTATAAAAAGTTTTGAGAATGATTTGGATATTTTATTGTCAGAATAACCACAAGACATGAGAAGATATGAAAGTCATTATTCCTACACAAAAAGGCACCAAAAACTATTAACACTGTTAAAATACAAGTTCTGTTGCTAAAGTCTGAACTCAGCCTTGGGCAGAAAAGTACCTGAGACTCTCAGTTCCAATTAGCCACTAAAAAGCCAGAAGTAGAGCTGAGTTCCAAGTGGTAGAGTGCCAGCCTTGAGCAAAAAAATCTAAGGGAGAATGTTCAGGCCCCGAGTTCAAGCCATATTAGCAGCATAATAAATTTTCCTGACTTTAAAATAATTTTTGGAACAATATTTTATGGAAAAGGGATATTCAGTTATAATATAAATTTTTAAATAACATTAATTTACAGTTTTTTTATAGTTTTATGTTTCATGTAAAATATATTAATTGAGGGGTTGGGAAGGTGGCTCAGTGGTAGAGCACTTGCCTTGCATGCCTGAGGCCCTGGACTCGATTCCTCAGCACCACATAAGTAAAAAGAAAAAAGCCAGAAGTGGTGCTGTGGCTCAAGTGGTAGAATGCTAGCCTTGAGCTGAAGAGCTGAGGGACAGCGCCCAGGCCCAGAGTTCAGGCCCCACAACCAGACCCAAAAAAATAAATAAATAAAATAAATAAATAAATATATATATATATATATATATTTAAATTGATGTTTGGTATAGTGGCTCATGACTGTAAACTCAACTACTTAGGAGGTGAAAACAGGAGCATCAGTTTGAGGACAGCCTAAAAAAAAAAGTGGTGAGACCCTATTTCTAAAAATAAGCTGGGTATGATAGCATTTGCCTGTAATTCCAGCTATACAGGAAGTATAGATAGCAGGATCACAGTCCAAAGCTGACCTGGGCAAAAAGCACATAACTCTATCTGAAAAATAACTAAAACAAAAAGGGTTTGGGGCAAGGCTCAAGTGTTAGACACTTGTCTGGCAAGCTCAAGATCCTGAGGCCTCTAGTACCATCAAAATAATAATAATGATTGATATTTGATTGTATATGAAGTTGTAACTACAGGTAAAAATATTATTGAGAAGCAAACTAAAAGAAACAAATAACACAAAGCCTATGCAAGATAGAATTTTCTTCCCATTGCTTCAACGGCAGAAGCGTTAATAATAATAAAGAAGCATTAATAATAATTCTTGTAATTTCAACTAGTAACTTAGGTTAAAATACATAATCTGATAATTTCCTAGAAAAGTATCTTCTCAGAAATTTAAATTTACAAAAGATTGCATGTTTTTAAAAAAACAACAGGCTGTATTTCAAAATGAAAATCCAGACTATATATGGAAGACAGAAAGTAAATGCTTACTAAAAATGTCTCACAAGTAGTAAAAAGATTAGCCATCTTCCTCAGATATGCTTTGAGAGAAAACTAATTCATTTGAAATCACTGAGTGTTTCTATGTGGTAGGCATTAAGCTAGGTACGGTTGTGTGATGACCAATTGGATATACCGGGTCCTTATTCTGATGGGTTAAAAAAAGGACACACTGGGGGAAAAAAAAAGATTAGAAAATAACCTCCAAAAATTTGGTGCACAATTTTAATTAAAATACATTCTAATTTTTGTTAGTTATAATAATTTATTTTGATAAACTATAATAATCTACTTTATTGTGACATCTAGAAACATATATGTAACCACAGCTTTGTTCCTTTTCTCTCATCCTTTATTATACTATGTCCCCCACTGTCAAAATAAAGGTTTACAAGAAAAACATAAATGAGCAATTCTTTTGTTTTATGGTTGCTAGACAGGCATTCAATCCTAGAGCCATGCCTCTAACTCATAAATTAGCAGGTTTAATTATTAATTTGTCACCATTAGACACTAAAAGAATAGTCTGCAAAACAGTATTACTCTATCCATATTAAAATATTGTTTCATCAATTATGTACATGGGAATCAAAAAAAAAAAAACCCTGAATCCCTGACATGAATGCCCTCAACTGGTGAAAGGACTCCAAGCATTCCTTTCACACATATTGCAAATCTCAGAACAACCACAGGACACCTGGCCCTGAAGCTCCCTAATGGTGTGAGCCTGGTTTGCACATTTCTCCTTGCAGCACCGCAGACTCTCCTGACACTCCTGAAGCCTCCGTTCAGCTGACATCAACGAATCGCGGACACTGGCTACCTCCTTCAGATGAGACTCCATCTGGCCTCTCATCTGAATTGTGACATTAGAGGAAAAAGTGCAAGGTCACACATTCAGCAGGGATATTCTTACTCTCTTAAATATTAGGTATGTTGTTATATAGTAAATATTTTAGGCAGAATGATTTTAAGCAATAGTATTTAACCAAACAAATACGAATGAATATTAATTGAGATTTAGCTGTATAAGCACTTAACTAATTTTCAGAAGTTTATCCAGCAAATTAAACATGGAAGTATTAGCTCACAGAAAGGATGTTTAAGCTACTTGGGAAAGCTTTTTTTTTAATTTATGCAAGCACAGATATTATTTTTAAAAAAATTTGGCATACTTGTTTCTACTGCCTACCAACAGCTCTAAGACACTGTTATCTTCAGTCAATCTTAGAATCTTAGAATTTAGCTATTTAACTAAATTTAGAGCTGTCTTGATCCACCCATCTTAGCCCAAATCAGTGGGGTTTGAGGTATACTATTTCAAATAGCTGATATCCAGCTCTCACACTATTGTGATAAAAAAAAAAGTCTCTAATTTTGTTTACATTAATCCCCTTGTGCAATTTCTCAATGTACCATTTTGGTGGATACATGACATAAAACAGCCTTAAAAAGTGACTATAGTGCTAATTTTTTTAAAATATTTAAGCCAGAGGTCAGTGGCTCTTGCCTGTAGTCCTAACTACTCAGGAGACTGAGATCTGAGGATCGCAGTTCAAAGCCAGCCTGGGCAGGTAAGTCCATGAGACTCTTATCTCTAATAAACCATTCAGAAAACTGGAAGTGGAGCTGTAGCTCAAGTGGTAGAATGCTAGCCTTGAGCTGAAGAGCTGAGGGACAGCGCCTAGGCCGAGTTCAAGCCCCACAACCACAAAAAAAAAAAAAAAATTTAAAAGGAAAAAGAATTTTACACACACATGCACACAAACATAGATGTACATATATACACATATATGTGTATGTGTGTATATATACACACCACACACACACACACACACACACACACACACACACACACACACCTTTGCTTACAGACCAGTAACTTCATAGTAGCTAGAAAAAAAGTTTTTTTTCCCTTTCTGCTTTTACAACAAGTTTTTAAAATAGGCTTCTAAAACTCTGGATTCTCCTCAGATCATAAAAAGAAATCTTCCCTTTTGCTCAAATAGAATTTTATTTATAGTGCTGTCTAGTAGAAAAGGAGACTTTTACATGTGAATGCTTGATGAGAAAAAAGAGACCAAAAGACAAGAAATGGTATCTTCTCTGGTCTGCTAAAAATAGGTAAAAAGTAATTCTAGGAAAACAGTAAGTTGCATATTTGATGATCTGTTCTCCATTTAATCTATTCATATTTCAGTGCCAGTGGACCACCCTGGCTGACCTTTTCTTCGCAGAGAAGCCTCACTCTGACTTCCCAATCATACATAAGGAAATAATCCAAAGATAGTAGCTGCATTACCCTCAGATGGAACTGACCACTGACACTGCATGACCTCTTTAGCCAAGAGTCAGCATCCGATCACTTCCCTCCCCAAACCAAATCCAAAAAGGAATGCAGTTTCATTTAAAAACTCAGAAATATTCATAAAAACATCATCATTGCCAGCACTGGCCTTCTTCTCCTCATTCGATTGCAACATGGTGAAGAGAAGGAAATGATAGTTCTTTTTTTTAAGAGATTTTATTTTCCTTCCAAAAATGCATTTAGCAGAGAATACTAACGTATTTTTTTAGACACAAAATTTATAGACAGAAAAAAAGGTGCAATTAGTTTGCATTTTGTGGCTGATGAATCTCAGTAATGAATAACTGTATTAGCTTATATCTGCCCCTATATCAACAAAATTATACCTTCGTGCTATTTTTCAAATACTAAGGAAAAAGTGAAAAAACATTCATTCATAAAAACATTTCAAGCCTGGAAGAAACATTATTTATTTAGGGGAAAATAAGTCCTCCAGAAGCTGAGGATGAACTAGAGAAAATAAAGTGAAAGAATTTGATATTCACCAAGTGACTATATATATGTATATGTAAGGTTATTTTATTCAATTTCAAACTTACCTTCTCTATTTTTTTATTTTTGTTTTTTGTTATTAGGCTATTTTCCTTTAGCAATTTTTCAAATCTGCTTTTCACCATTTCAGCTGCTTCCTGCAACTTTTCTACCTAAAAATAAAAATATATTAGATCATGATTGTATTATTTTAAGAGTGTAACATGTAATAAAAACTCTAAATAAGTCACTATATACTTAACATCCTCAGTATATTTGTCACTCCTTCTTTAAATATGGAATTATTTAATGCTCTAATCTGCAATACTTCTATGATTCACCTGTTTTCTTCCATTAATATGTCTAGAGTCTTCACTAAGGACTAAAAACTATAGATTTGCAGGTAATTATCACTTTAAAATTAAGTCTCTGGTCCAGACCAGCAATCACTCTAATAATCAAAAACTGAGTACTTTATACAAAGTTCAGTAGCTAGAATATGGTAATCAGTCATAATATTCTTATTGAGGGATTAAACCTGAACCACCAGGTGGAAGACCCAGATGATAGGATCAACAACTTGCCCACAACTTCCATTCTTACCTCCACATTTAGAATATTCTAACTAAATGCCTTGATTCCATTTTCCCATCTAATCCATCCAGATGTAAGCCCTTCATACTTGTCTATTCTTTTCTTTCTTAGTTTTATTTTTGTGGCTAGAGGGCAGTGCTAAGAATCAAATCCAGTAGGAAAGACATTACTACTGAGTTAAACCCCAGTCTAGGATTATTTTTTAATTCAGATTCTTCCTGTTCCAATAAAACCTAGATCCTGTGTGTGTGTGTGTGTGTGTCTGTGTGTGTCTGTGTCTGTGTGTGTCTGTGTGTGTCTGTGTGTGCATATGTGCATGCACTCACACACACATGCACCAGTCCTAGACACTGAACTCAGGTCATGGGCAGTGTCTCTGAACTTTTGTGCTCAAGGCTAGTGCTCTACCACTTGAGCCATAGCGCTACTTCTGGCTTTTTTTTTTTTTTTGGTAGTTAATTGGAGATGAGAATCTCATGGACTATTCCTGACTGGCTTGGCTTTGAACCGTGATCCTTAGATCTCAACTTGCTGAGTAGCTAATATTATGGGTGCACCACTGGCACCAGACTAAAATTCAGATCTTTACTTACTATTTTGTTACTCATTAAGCAAGTATTTGCATAAGTGCTATGTGTTTCATGACTTGATTATAGCTCTAAAACATAAAGCTTTTATGTAAATACTACTGGACACATGTTCTCTTTCATATATACTGCCATATGCTTTTTTCTAAGTCTTTCATATGAAAAATCTTAATTATACTAGAAGGGAAGTTCTGGGGTTTAGTGATGCTAAAAGATAGTCATATTGCAAATCAGTATCACTAACAACAAGTACATAAACCAAGATAAACAAAGGAGCTGTATTACATCTATACAACTAATATTAAATATACCTTTAGGAATAGCCATTTCATCTACAAGCAGTATTGGAATCAGGAATTGGCAGTATTACAAAGTACTTGAAACCTTAAGAAATGGTTGGAACATACTGTATCTATTATAAAATAGTAAACCAATCTCCTAAGTTCTGCTTATTAAGTTCACAAATAAAATGTTTTAAATTATCTACAAAGTTTAACAAACATTAACATAAATGCAGTGGTCACCTGAGTTTTATATACTTCAATCAGGTCTTTCTGTCGTTTTTCTACTTCTTGCAATTCTATGAGTTCATTTTCAACAGAAACAACTTCATCCTTCAAAGCAGCAAGTGAAGTCTAGACAGAAATATATAGATGATTTTATAAGTCATTTGAAAAACTGTTACTTATGAAACTACTATAAACTATTATAAAACAGGAGGGCATAACATTTCTTTTTCCTCCTCTATTCTGTTTCAAATTTGGCTATAATGGCTTGAAACTCCAGCAGCCATCTAGATTTTGAGGATAAGCAAGGGCAGACACAGAGCTAAGAGGCTAAGTTAGCAGATAACCTCTCTGCTCTGAATATATACCAACTTTAGAGTTTGCTTAAATAATAAACATATAGTTCCACTTGATTTGGGTTTTTATTATATTCATAAAGCTGACTCTTAACTAGTAGAAAACTCACTGAAACATCAAAGACAGTTCCCTAGAGTAGTCAATTATTTTGTTTCCTGGAAATGTCTACCACATTCTAGCAAAGTTTACATAATTAAAAAAATGGGAAACCAAGTTTGTAATTATAAACTCCAAACATGATTGTATCTAGTATTGTTTCCTTCCTATAATCCTGGCTGTTCCACTTAGCTAGATTCTTCCCTCAAAAGACAATACTAGCCTATGGACAAAAAGATTTAGAAGCACATGTACAATGAATAAATAGATTTCTTTTGGGGCTTTTTTTTTTTCGGGGGGGGGGGGGGTGGTGCCAGTCCTGGGTGTTGAACTCAGGGCCTGGGCACTGTCCTGAGCTTCTGTGCTCAACGCTAGCACTCTATCACTTTGAGCCATAGTTCCACTCCCAGCATTTTGGTGGTTAACTAGAGATAAAGAGTATTATGGACTTTCCTGCCCTGGCTAGCTTTGAACTGTGATCTTCAGATTTCAGTCTCCTCAGTAGCTAAGATTATAGGTGTGAGCCACTAAAAGCCCTGCTTAGATTTCTTTTAAAAAGAAAACCCCAGAAATTCATATTAGCTGAATTACTATGAATTTATAAACTTACCTGGAAAAAAAGGCTAATCTTGAATATTATGGGTAAAGCAAAACAAAACAACTAAGGAAAGCAGTGATTTCCTTCCTATGATTTTTTTTAAAAAAATCTCTACTGATCAAATATTTAGACAAAATAATACCACCAAACTATAAGTGCCACGTGAGAGGCAGGATCTTGCTATTACATGTCATATATATCACTTAGATCCCTCCCATTTCCTCCACTCATTCCTAAATGACTACAAGCAACAGGACTATGATTTTCAAGTCTTCCACTTCGAACTCATCAAGTCTCTCCATGTGGAACAAACTGGGCTTGAGCCGCAGGAGCCAGACTTTACTCACTGATTTAAAGTCAGGAACTGAAAGGTCTCCAAACTGTCCACGCTAAGAAAGGTTACCAACTTTATAAACCAACAGATAGAAAGGATTTTGTTTTCCAGTGTGGGCAATCTGCTGTCTATCATAATAAGCCATACTGTGTACTGTATAATATTATACACCTCCCTCAAAGACAGATCCGTACTTAAAAAATAGGTTGGGCACTGGAAACTAATATGTCCAAGTCTGTAATAAATAAAATCTTCTTTGTAGTACATGATGTTGAGATGCAGAGAAGAAAAGGTTAGTAAAAAGTACAAGAGATTTGGAGGCATCTCTAATTTCCTTCTGGGAATAATCTTAAAAATTATGAGCCTCAAAGAAAAATACTGAGGAATTAACTTAAGCAAAGAGGTAAAGGACCTCTACGATGAAAACTTTAAAAATCTGAAAAAGAAAATTAAAGCTGATTTTTTTTAAGGAAGTGTAAAAACCTCCCATGCTCCTGGATTAGGAGAATTAACAATGTGAAAATGGCAATACTGCCAAATATCCTCAACATCCCAACAACATTCTTTAATGAAATAGAAGCAATCCCAAAATCCATATGGAATAATAAAAGACCCCAAATAGGGAAAACAATCTTTAACAGGAAGAACGGCGCTGAAGGAATACCAATAACAAACTTCAAACTCTATTAAAAAGTCATAGTTAATAATATATGATGTTGGTATATGTGGAGGGGAAGGAAAAAAATTGTTAAAACAGGGATACAGGAGGACCCATTGCAACAATGAGATGTACAAGTCGTTATGTCGAAAAACGAACTTTACAACTTTGGTGGGAGGGAGGGGAAGGGGGGAGGAGGATACGAAGGGATGGGAAGGGGAAACAAAGCAGGAGGCCACAATGCTTGATAAGAAATGTGCTCATTACCTTACCCATGTAATTGTAACCCCTCTGTACAGTATTTTCACAATAAAAAATATATACATTTTTTAAAAAGCCATAGTTATAAAAACAGCTTGGTACTGGCACATGAACAGACCTAAGGGACCAATAGAATAGAATTGAAGACCCAGAAATGATCCCATAGACCTATGGCCACCTGATCTTTGATAAAGGAGGCAAAATAATCAGATGGAAGAAAGACAGCCTCTTCAACAAACAGTGCTGGCAGAATTGTCTATACACATGTAGAAAACTGAAGTTAGATCCTTATAATCACCCTGCACCAGAATCAACTCCAAATCTGATCTTACCTTGAGTGAATTTTACAGGAAGGAATAGGGGAAACACTAGGGCTCCTTGATACAGGTTGGAACTTACTAAATAAAGATTCAGAAACACAACAAATCAAAGAAAGGCTGGATAAATTGAAATGTATTAAACTGCAGAGCTTCTGCATAGCAAAGAACTAGCTAGCAAGCTAAATAGAAAACACACAGATTGGAGATCTTCACTAGCTATATAACAGACAGAGGCCTCATATCTAAAATATACTTAGAGCTCAAAAAATGAAACCTTCCAAAAACAAATCCTCAAAGAAACAACAACCCCATTAATAAGTTGGCTAAAGAACTAAAAAGAGACTTCTCCAGAGAGGAACTAAGAATAACCAATAAACACATGAAATGTTCAATTTCTGGCCATAAAAGCAATATAAATCAAAACTACATTGAGATTCTTCTTCACTCCAATAAGAACAGCCATTATTAAGAAAACAAATAATAACAGATGCTGGTGGGGATGTGGCCTAAAGGAAACACAACTACATTGTTGCTGGGAAAGTAAACTGGTTCAACCACATTGGAAGGCTCCTCAAAAGACTAAATGTAGAGTTCCTCAATGATGCAATAATCCCACTCCTGGCATTTACCCAAACAATCACAAACAAGGCCACAGTAAGACTACCAGCACAATTATGCGCAGCATTATTTACCATGGCTAGATTTGGAATCAACCCAGATACCCCTCAGTAGATGAATGGATCAAGAAAATGTGGTAAATAACACAGTGAAATTCTATGCTTCCAACAGAAAGAATGACATTGCCCAATTGGTAAGGAAACAGAAAGACAAAAAAATCATATGAAGTGAAGACTCAAAGAAACATAGGTTTTTCTCAAATGGTTTTCCTCATTTGTAATAATTAGCATATGCCTAGGATAGTCCTAGCAGACATTCACAACAGCTATTGTGTACATATGTATAAATGACCACATAAAATGATGGTAATCAAAATGATCCCCACAATATGGAAACGAGAGTTTTTTGTGGTTGTTTTTTTCTTTCTTTTTTTTTTTTTTTTAAGAATATACTGTTTGCAGTTGTTTCTTTTATCTTTTTTTTATTTTCTCTTCTGGTTTATTCCTTTGGTCTCTGTTTCTGATTTTGGTACCCTTTGTCTTCTATAATTTTATCTGACTTGGGGTAGGGAAGGGAAATCACAGAAACAGTGGGACAAAGGGTGAACCAATACAACAGTAATACTAAACACTATGTTGGAAATTAACTTTACAACTTGGGAGAGGAGGGAGGAAGAGAAGGAGGAAGGAAAGCGGGGGGGGGGGGGGGGGGGGGAAGGAGGGAAAGTGGGAGAAAACGTGGGAGAGGGTAACACTGCTCAAAAAGAAATGTACTTATTACTTTACTTATGTAACTACAACCCCTCTATATATCAACTATATAATAAAATAAAAATAATAAAATAAAACAACAATTTTGAAATTTAAAGCCTACACCACCATCATTTCTAGTTAAAATCATTTTTATGTAATAATTTATTTATATTTTTTCATGTAAATGGATTCATGAAAAACCATCCATTGTAACTTTCCCATAACATCTACATAATGGTCAATAATTTTCCCAAGGAAGAAATAAGTACAATTATAAAGCAAAAACAAAACATACAAGCAAATAAAAACACTCTTTAAAGTATAATAAGGTCTTAACACTTCTCTTGTTAAAGATATATCTCACAAGCGGGGCACCGGTGGCTCACGCCTGTAATCCTTCCTACTCAGGAGGCTGAGATCTGAGGATTGAGGTTCAAAGCCAGCCCAGGCAAGAAAGTCTGTTAAACTCTCATATCCAATAAACCACCAGAAAACCAGAAGTGGCACTGTAGCTCAAGTGGTAGAGCACTAGCCTTGAGCTGAAGAGCTGAGGGAGAGCGCTCAGGCCCAGAGTTCAAGCCTCTCAACCAACAAAAAAAAAAAAGATGTATCTCAAGTACCATACAATTACAACCTTTTAAGTAATTATGAATGCTGTAGTAAAACTAAACATAAAAAAGTCACATTTGCTGAAAAGTTTCTCTAAAATGTACTATATGTCATTGATAACATGCTAATATTTATCATTGCATATCAGCTAATTCACAGTTTTCTTTCTTTTTTTCTTAAATGTATGCGTGCTAATAGTGAGGCTTGAACTGTCCTTTTGCTCAAAGCTAACACTTTAACCCTTGAACCACAGCTCCACTTCTGACTTTATTCTGGTAAACTGAAGATAAGATTCTCATGGCCTTTCCTTTTGAGACTTTTAGCCACAATATCAGATCTCTTGGACAGGTAGAATTATAGGTGTAAAGTCACCAGTGCCCTGCTAAAGACTTTTGTGTGTGTGCTAGTACTGGGGCTTGAACTCAAGGTCTTGCTCTCTTACCTGTTTTTGTTGTTAAGGGTGGTACTCTTAACACTTGAACTACACCTCCACTTCCCATGATTCTGTTTTCTGTCCTACAAAAGTAGTATTTTGAACTAGAAATGGTGTCATCATCTTTAGTCAAGTGTCATGTTGACTATGCACAATTCTGGGTAACAGAGAACTTAAGTATCTTTTATCTCAGAAAGTCTAAAAACTTCTTTCCCATTTTTTCTCTTGTACACATACAAGCAAATCACCCCTTTGATTTGTCATGGTTGGAAAATTCTTTCTAGTTATGATGCAGCCAAGAACTTACTTTCTAGTTTCAAACAGACCTTGCCTGAGGTTATATCCTATGGCAACCACGACACCTAACAATACTTTTATAAGTTGAAGTTAATGTAATTTTGAATGATTCACTTAACTGCTAAAATTAGAGTAATAATTTAAGTTGAGATTGTTACTCAATTTCATAAGCTTCATTTTATACTGCTAAATACAATTTAAAGATGCATCTGTGTAAATAACTACATACATTATATATACATAAGTGTGTAGATAAATCCATACATGTACAAATACATTATATAGACATGTTATATTTGTATAATACTATGATTTGTTAAGAAATATTAACAAAAACTGATATAGAACATTATTCTAACATGCTGTTTCTTCAGCTATTTCTAAATTATATAAGTTGTCATCAAGCAATGGACACACAGACATGCACAATACCTTTAACTTTGTATTCTCAAGATCCAGAGTTTCATTTTCATATTCAAGTGAGTTAAGTTTTCTAAGAATTCCTTCACATGAAGCTTTCCCTTGGGTTTCCACTCTCTTCAGGTCTTCTAAAAGATCAGTGATTTGCCTTTATAAGGTAAATACATTTTATAGAAGTTATAGAAATTTTCATTCTCATAACACATTTTAAGTATTTTTAAGTCAATTTGGTAATTTGCACTATTTCATATAGGAAAAGTCCAAAATGTTAATAGAATTTATAGAGCAGGGGAATCTGGAAGAAGGAATCTATAAGGTTACCATCAGAGTAGCTTGAAATATCCACGGATTATACAATAATCTCTTTGCTAAATGATGGAATATCTGACCTATTAGCCACCAAGTCTACATGTCTGTTTTCCTCATGCACACACAATTTTAGAAACAAGTTTGAAGAAAAGGATCAACTGAGGATCACAGTTCAAAGTCAGCCTGGGCAGGAAAGTCTGTGAGACTTTTATCTCCAATAAACCACTAGAAAACCAGAAGTGGCACTGTGAGTCGCTTGAGCTGAAGAGTGTAGGGACAGCACCCAAGCCCCATGACCAACAACAACAACAACAACTACAACAAAAGATTAAGTAAGACAACAGCAACTAATCTTTAGTTATATGTAACTTGTATTTAAGTCACCTTCATTTACACATTTTTAAACGATAAAAGTGAACATAATACACTGAAAATAAAACATTTAAAATAGGTATTAAGGGTCTGTTGGTTATCAGCACTTAATTTCAAAAGATTAAATAAATGTATTTAAACTCAATTGTTTTCTTTATAGCTTTAAATCACTTTAATTAAGGGATAATAATTTTTAGGACTTTCAAGGCATTTGTATTTATATTGCACATTCAGGTTTACTTGAAAAATATCACTTCTATTTAAGACAGTCTTCATACTTACTACAAATAACAGACGACACATTGAAATAAAAATATACTAATGGGGGTTAGGGTAGGGAGGCGGGGGGAGGATGGGAAGGGATGGGAAGGGGAAACAAAGGAGGAGGCTACAATGCTTGATAAGAAATGTACTCATTATTTTGCCCATGTAATTGTAACCGCTCTTTACAGTATTTTCACAATAAAAAAAAATACTAATCTACAAGTTCAAAACTCCAAAATGGCAATTCCAACAAACCTCTAAATATTTTTCTTACTATTTTTATATTTTAAGAAAAGTTTACAGAGTTATAAAGTCACAAGTAGTACATTTACCACATGAAATCCAAACATAAATAATACAAACTACTCAAACTATTCAAACAGGAAAAAACTAAAACTACTTTTTACTAAACAGTACAAAGATGAAAAATCATTCTTACTTTTTCATTGTTTCAATATGAACCTCTAATTCAGCTTTTTCAATTACAATTTTCTCATAACGACTTTTCCAGGCATTGGAAGCTGAAACTGTTTCAGACAACTTGGCTTCCTAAAAGATACATGAAGTATACATCATGTAATAGAATCATTTTTGTTAGTTTTAACATATGCAAATATGTTATTAAATAAGGAAACATCTTCCAATAATTTATATAACTTTTCTAATAGAAAATTCTTAAAGTAAATTTTAATAAAATATCTATGTTAATGTCATTTTATATGCATCCCATGGCCGTTCCTTTCATGTGTCAGTCCTAGGGCTTAAAACTCTGGGCTTGGGTGTTGTCTCTTAGTTTTTTTTGTTCAAGACTATCCTCTACCACGTGAGCCACAGCTCCACTTCTGGCTTTTTTGGTGTTAACTAGTGATAAAAGTCTCATAGACTTTCTTGTCCAGGCCGGCAAAAATTGCAGTCCTCAGCCTCAGCCTCCTGAGTAGATAGGATTACAGGACGAGCTTTCATTTTATATTCTGTACGTACAAGATACTAAGAACCACACCAGAGGAAAAAGAAGTTTTCTATAGTATACATAGGAAAATGCTAATTTCACAATTCCATACTATTTTCAAATGCCACCTGTATCTTTGTTATAATGACGCCATGCTATTTTGTAGAAGTCATCCTTGTCAACCTTCTAACATTGTTAATGTCAACAAAGAGATGAAGTGGCAACAGTGACTAATCCATCTTGTATGTGAAGTAGGGATTCATGAAGTAGGGATTTTTGTCTGTTTTGTTCACTGATGTATTTCTAGGGTCTTAAAGAGTGAGTGCTAGAGCACAGCAACCACTTAATGAATGTCCACTCTCTGAAGATCTGTCTAAACAGCTGCAGCCACTAGGAAAAATAAAAACTTGACTGGAATACAACAGACCATGTTAATTAAGATTAGAAAATCCATAAAGAGTGCTGGTGGCAATTAACACTTATTGGGCAGGTCCTTTTATCATTCCATCATTCATCTGTTCACTGAACAAGGACTTATTGAAGATCTGTGTGTAAGATAATGTTTAGTTCATTTCAAAAATATGTTTTATGTCTTTTCCTCCTCTCAACTTCCTTTTATTGTTATTAAGCATAAATATTTTTGTGGACTAGTATCCTATTTTTGTGTTTCATATAAAATTTTAATATAAATTATGAATTATGCATAGGCATAAATTTTAAAATGTGAGTTTATATTGTGGTATAAATTCAAATATTTAGGAATTTTTACCTATAAAGGAGAAATTTATATATTAGATATGCAAATACCACCTATAATTCATATAGAGGATGGTAGTTAATTTGTATGACATTCTTAAAGTATACAAACCAGATAAAGATGAAATCACCTTAAAAGAGAAAACTTGTTTTTGTTTTCCTTGATCTACCTTTTCTATTCATTTATTTATTTGTTTACTTATTTTTGTGCCAGTACTGGGTGTTCAACTCAGAGCCTATTCTCCGGCTTAGCTTCTTTTTTGCTCAAGCATTATACCACTTGAGTCACACTTCCAGCTTTTCTGATTAGTGAGAGATAAGAGTTTCTCAGGTTTGTCTATCTAGGCTGCTTCAAATTGTGATCCTCTGATTTCAGATTGCTAAACAGTTAAGATTAGAGACGTAAGTCACTAGTGCCCAGCTTCTTGTTAATTTAAACGAATCTATACTATTAGGAGCAAAATTAGGATCTACCCAACTTTTAAAGAAAGAAATGGGATAACTCTTTGTATGTACAAATATATAACATTTAACATCAAGATCAGTTATCACCAGTAATATCAAAATCCTCATTACCTCTTTTACCCATCCTTACAAACACAGGGACACCCTTCATCCTTTCTTCTTCAGCACAGAAAATTACAATCTTGGACTCTTCCAAATTCTTACCCTCTGATGTCTCTATAAATTTTAGGTATTGTGTGTATATGTCTGTGATGAGCTATATGATAGCTCAATAAAATTTCTTACTTCTTAACTGTTTGTATTTTGAACCTGATACATTTAAATATGATATTCATAGATTAATAGGATAAACTCCAGCTACCTGTAAGCTTATAGAAGAAAGCAGTAAACAAGATGTAAACTTAAACCATAAATGAAGTAACTTCTAGATTGTGATAAATGCTATGAAAAAAAATTTAAGACAATGATATGATTGTTGTTGGATTACTTCTTAAAAAATAGCGAGGGAAGGTCTCTGATACCAACTCAAAAGAAACCTGAATGATTAAAAACAAAGAACTAGAATGATGAGCTGGAAAAAACATGATGGTCAGGGCTGGGAAGGTGGCTCAGTGGTAGAGCGCTTGCCTTGCATGCCTGAGGCCCTGGGTTTGATTCCTCAGCACCACATAAGCAAAAAGAAAAAAGCCAGAAATGGCACTGTGGCTCAAGTTGTAGAGCACTAGCCTTGAGCTGAAGAGCTAAGGGAATCGCCCAGGCCCAGAGTTCAGGCTCCACGACTGGACCAAAAAAAAAAAAAAAAAAAACCATGATGGTAAGAGCCATAGGTGACAAAACAACAAACACCTGTACTAGAGGACTAGAAAAGAAGACAAAATGGCATAAATGTAGTATAAGCATGCAGTGTGGTTTAATGTGTTATTTCCTCATTTATCCTTTCTTATGATCACCTAAGACAGCAGTGTTATTATCCCCCATTTTACAGATAAAGAAATTGAAGCTTAAGCAAGGTTAAGTTTTCTGTGTAAAATCATGGGAGTAATGAGTGGAGGAGTTTTTCTGCACTGACAAGGGGCAGGAGTTATTTCAATAGAAAAACTTTAAGTATGACAATGACAATATTAGTCTTTACCTCTCATTATTTTCAGTTATTCAACCACGTCTACAGCCTTGCAGACTTTGAATCTGGTCCTTCACTCTTTTATTTAGCTTAATCTTATGAGTGTAGGTTAAATACTAGAACCTTAAAATGTTAACTCTTGCACTTATAAAATATTGTTTTGCACAAGATTTTATGCAAGTCTGCTTTCCTTTCTAAAAGTCTTTAATAATTCTATAAGCCTTAACATAAGTTCTTAAGTGTTGGAATACTAGTGAATCATTAAAAACAATAAATATTTTAGTAGCTGGTAAGTGAATAAATATAATTTGTCAAAAAACAACAAAGTACTAGGTCTATTTTTCAACTTTGAACTATACCCAAAGATATCTTTCATATGGTGTGTTTACGTCAGTATATGGTTTTAAATGCTTTACAGAAATTAAATGAAGTAGATTACTGAATAAAATCATATGGTCTAACAACATAAATCTGCATTTCCCAAACTGATATTTCTCAGAACCATTTCCAAAAGTGGGTTTGTGTATAAAAGAAGAGTTCTGTGGTTAAGTGAATGTGGGAAACTCTAAGTTCAATATCCTCATTACTCTGAGCTTAAGAATGCCTTCTTAGGGCCTTTAGTATGCTCATGTGTACTGTAACTTTCCAAGGGACAAAGGGAATGAAGCCTGCCTTACCCTTACTGGGCTGGCTGTACAGTATCCCATATATTGGGATACACTAAAAAATCTACTTTCCATAGTTTCCAAGGAAATGTTATTATAGTTCAAATTTTATATTTTATGGAAATAAAATAAAAAAGTTAAAAGGCAAAATTATGAGTAAAAATTCTACAATAGTAATTGTATTCTTATGAATTGAACATCAAGGCATTAACTACGGAAAAATCTATCTTTAGAAAAGAATGTCTATACTTACTTGGCCTCTAATTTGGGAAGTAAGGTGTTCAATATCTCCTGTAAAATGTTTGAACCTTTGCTGATAAATTTTCGATGCCTTTTTCAGGGCAGTGACTGTTTGTCGACTTGATTCTTTCACTGCTACAGTCTCTTGTTTATTCATTTTCAGCTGCAAATTCCATTTGGCTATTTTGTTCTCTATGCTCTGAAAAAAAAGTATGAAAAAAAGAATTATTTCAGAACTGTAATGTTTAGTCAATATTTTAAGAACATTTATATCATTTTCACCAATTTTATTGTAACAACTAATCCTAAGATTAATAAAAAGCAAAATAATGATGCACAGTTTCTTTGTGAACAGTTAAAACTATAAATTAAAAAGATTTAAGCCTACCTAAAATGAATTCTCATATTATTATTGGTGATAAAGGCATAAATGCTAACTTCCCTAAATCTGTGGTACTGACTTTTTTTCTTGGTTCTCATCTAAAATGTAACACATAGTACTAGTTTGAAAAATTAGTTTAAAAAACTCAAATGAGCTAGAAAATGATCAAAATCATAGGCATGCAAAGCTCAGAGAAAAGACAGGTAACTGCGTATATATATAGACGTGAGACTTATTTACCAAATTTTAATTTACTAAAATTATTGCCCTAATAGGAAGTTACATTTTTAAGTGTTGCTTTTACCCAATGAATATAAATTATGAAAATAAAGGTTGATTCTAAGATCACACATTTAGATAAATTAACAATATGAGCCATAATATAAAGGTAAAAAGATGTTTCGAGATAGACTTTAATCAAATGAGTTGGATGATATACTAATTATGTCAATCATCATTGGCAGGATGATTTATTTGTCAAATATCTTTGCAGTATGAAAGACTGAATATTAACCTAGGTAGATGGATGATAGGTCTTATGTTTTTATTTCAAGTTATTTTAGACTCTGTATTGAAAGTATTTGAGTATTAGATATCTAAAGATGTAAACATTTGAGATTTTAATGCTTTTACATTTTGAAAACTGTAATGCTTAAAAGAATCTGACACTTTTGGGCATTTACCCGAATTATCACAACAAAGCTACCAGCACAACTATGTTTATTGCAGCATTATTTACCATAACTAAGATATGGAACCAACCCAGATGCCCCTCAGTAGATGAATGGATCAAGAAAATGTGGTATATATACACAATGGAATTCTATGCCTCCATCAGAAAGAATGACATTGCCCCATTTGTTAGGAAATGGAAAGGCTTGGAAAAAAATATATTAAGTGAAGTAAGCCAAGCCCAAAGAAACATAGGTCCAATGGTTTCCCTTATTTGCAATAACTAGTATATGGCTGAGACAAGCAGAAACGGCCAGACAAATTGATGTTAGGCGAAATGAACCCTAAGACAAGGACTCAAATGGTCCCTCCCCCCACGGTATAACCCCAGTTTTCACTGTTTTTGATGTTGGTATAATTTGGGGAGGGGAAGAAAAAAAAACAAATTGTTTAAATAGGGATATAGGTGGACCCATTGCAATAATGAGATGTACAAGACATTATGTCGAAAAACGAACTTTACAACTTTGGTGGGAGGGGGGATTAAAAAAAAGACATATTGTACTCATAAAAAAAAAAGAAAAAGAATCTGAAAAATACCATAGAATTTGGATTTTAGTCGCCAATTCCTTGGGAAGTTATTTTAACAAAAAGTCAAAGGGGTTACATTGCAAGATGAAGCTTTTCTGCTTAATTCTATGATCAACAAAAGCTATGCTTCTTAAACAGTAAAAGTCTGAGATAAGATCTGATCTCTGAAGAGTGATTAGGTAGACTAAATTAGAAGTAGCAAAACATTTTAAAATATCCTTAAGAATAAATTTTATAATTTATTTATAATTATATACAATTTTATAATTCATTTATAATTATGTATATAATTTTATAATAAACTTTATAATAAATACTGCATAAAAACAAGAGTAGAACATTACAACAACATAAAGAGAAAGGCATACCCTGTAATAAATAGTTGTTATTCTTCTAAAGAGCCACAGGGGGTCATCATCATACCATGAGTAGTTGCTACACTTAAACTTCAATCTATTCACACAAGAAGTGTGAAATATAAGGTGGCAATTAGATTCTCTCACTACTTTTTATCAAATCCCTTATCAAATACCATCAGGAAGTATGCTGAGGGCTTGGATGTAACTTGAGTATCCTGAGTTTGATCCCCAGTACAAAAAAAAAAAGAAAAAAAAAGTATGCTGAAACTATCAAATTATTTTTACAGCTTCAAAATAAACAACTGCTCAGTCATTTGCCAAATGACTTTTTCTTACTGTTTACAAGTATATATATGTTGCCTACCATGCAAATAATTATTCTTTCCATCCTCTAAAAGCATTTTAAAATATTCTAACTACTGTATTTCAAAGACTGGGAAAAACTGTTTAAAATATCTTTGGAGTAGTTCTCAAAGAATTACAATATAAATTTTTATTTGTTTGTTTATTAATGGGCTAGGGTTTAAACTCAAGACCTTGCACTAAGCACTCTACCACTTGAGTCATAATCTTAGCTCTTTTTGCTGTTAGTTTATTTTTCAAATAGAATCTACTGTTTTTTGTCTGAGGGCAGACTCTAACCTCAATCCCAACATCTCTGCTTCCCACATAGCTGGGATTGCCAGTGTGTACCATCAACCCAAGTCTGAGTATTTTTGCTTTCAAAAAGAAATGGAGTAAAATTGTTAAAATCTAAAATCAAAACTGTTACCCCTGATTACTTAATGCTTTAAATTCTAAAAGTGCATATGGAAAAAAATAGTAGAAAAATAAGTAAAGCATTTTATCCAATCATTTCTACTTTTGAAAAGCAATTGACCTCAGTATTAGACTATCACAGCAAAATGTCTGGGTTCTTTCTTATGTTCTTTCTCCAAATAGCTGTTAAAATTGCCTTTTAAAAATCATTTTAAAAAGCCAGGCTCAAGTGGCTTATGTCAGAAATCCAAGTTATGTGAGAAGCTGAGATTGAGAAGATTGCAGTTCAGGCCAGCTCAAGCAGAAAAGTCCTCAATATTCCACCTCCATGGAGGGAGCAGGACACAGTAGTTTGCAACTGTGATTCCAGCAATCATAGAAAGCCTAAAGTAGGTGATTACAGTCTAAGTATGAGCTTGGATGGGAAGTCAGACCCTATGGTGGGAGGTTTGGCTCAATGGTAGAGTGTCAGCTTAGTAAACAGACCCTGAGTTCAAATCCCAGCCAAAAAATAAAACACATTCTATATTTCCATATTGCACTTATAAATTGAAGGAACTATATTCTTAAAAATGTTCCCAATTGCTATATGAGGACATTATTTAAACTGTAAGTTAAGCAGTGGTAGATGACTATCAGACAGGTTAGCTCACCACTATTCCCTTTCACTATTCACTATCACTAAGCACTGCTATACCAAACACCTTTCATCTGCAGTGGATTAGCACTCAGCATGCAAAGTATACAGGGAATCTATAGAGGACAGTGCTTCAAAGAACATGGAGCAGAACAAAGGGCAAAGTTTACATCTTCGATATATTTGATTAAGGGCAAATGCTGTCAAAGAAAAAACTAAATTTTAACCTGAGCACAGTGTTAAAATGTGTGCTACAGGTTGTAGATATGTGCTATGATTCAGGAGGATAAACAAGCAAAAATCTAATAGAAGGCCTCATGCTTAAGAGGCTCTCAGTCTGTGCATTGCCATGAAAGTAGAAATATTGCTTCTTTTCCTTTGGCAAAACACTGGATCCAGTTAGGTTTCAATACATGGCAGTCATCTCAAATCCTTAAAGTTGACTTTGACTGCAAAAGCACAATTAAACCAAAAAATTTCCCTTGATTGTCCTGTTGCAAAGGAAATTACTCAATTATTTGAGTATCAAGGCTAGATTAATTTTAAATTTTACTGCCTGTCCATTAGGAATGTGTGAGATTATGTATCTAAAGACACAGAAATGAAATTGAATTAATTTATGCCAGATGGTTGGCAGCAGTTTCAGTGTTTTGTGATATTTTTTATTTCTTGCTTTATTTCTTTATTTCTGTTTTCTACTCATTTTGTTTCAGCTTTGTACCAGTCCCGGAGCTTGAACTCAGGGTCTGGATGCTATCCCTGAACTTTTTTGCACAAGGCCGGTACTCTACCACTTCCAGCTTTTTTGGTAGTTAATTGGGATAGAGTCTTGTGGGTTTTCCTGCCCAGGGCTAGCTTCAAATCACAATACTCAGATCCCACTCTACCAAGTAGCTACAAGCACAGGGATAAGCCACCAGCACTCAGCTTTTGCTTTCTAGTTATTATAAATTATTCTCAGGAAACTTAACTGTATCAAGAGAAAGATATTTAAGGTAAATCAATCACTACAAATCCTTCCTAAATTGGTATTAAAAAGAGATATCATTTGATATATTGATCTGAACCTAAATTTTAGGAAGATCTTGAAATTTTCTACTAAGATTTACCTTTAATATAAATTATGTCCTATGGCAGGACTCAAATTCTTTCATAATTACCACATTCCACAATGAAGGAAGGGCTTTACAGTTTTATTAATTTCACTTAAACTATAAAAATGAATAAATATTTAAAACCTTTATGTAGTCTTTTAATTTATCATTTTCTGCTTCCCTTTTATGAATCTGGACCTGTAGTCGATCATGTACTATTTTCACTGACTGAGAAAAGCGGTTTACTTTCAAAGCATTAGCCTGTAAAAGAGAAGAAACAATAAAATGTTATTTGTTTTACAATAAAATGTCATTAGTTTTACTCCATTTAGAAACTAAAACAATGATAAAAAGCAAAGTTTACTTTATATAAATTACTGTCCAACTACAAATGCATTTCTTGTACAAGCACATTTTCTCTACTATCTACATTTTACTTAATACTTCCTGATAATTATCTTTGTAAAACTTCCCATCTATCCTCCTATGTACAGCTCTGGACAGGTCTAACATTCTCTTACAAACACCCAAATTCCTTAATCTGTTCCCAAACTGTAAAACAATACAAATTTATGCAGAGTTCCTAATTTGTAATAACTTATGCCAACTGTCCTGACTAAAACCCTTAAATATAGAGAAATCTAATACATCAACATAAAATACACATATAATCTAAACTAACAAAAGCCTTTCCTGCATATATTTCTGAGGATATGGAACCAGGATGGGAAGAAGGAATGAGGGAGTCAATATTAAGAAAATCTGACAAGTTAAGTCCAAAGCTCAAACTTTACTAACCTTTTCATTCTGAAATAAACATGAGAGTTCTTGAATATATGATTCCTTTTCCAGAACCTTCTTCTTAAGATTCTGCAGCAAATATAAGAATTAGAAATTTCACAACTTGAATAATAATGGCTGACACACAAATAATCAGAGAAATAGAGGGGGGTAGAAGAAAGGGAGGGAAAAAGGGAGGGAGGGGAGAAAAGAAAAGAACAGATATAAAGTAAAAGAAAAACTTACAATATTTTCACTTTCATTATCAGTTAGGTTCTTTAACAACATGCTGGGTAAATTATCTCCTGCCTGTGAAGAAAGAAGGTTTTAAATCAATGTACAAAAACTTTATTTTTCTACATTAAAAATAAAAAAAGAAAGTCCATGAGACTCTTATCTCCAACTAACCACCAAAATAGCTAGAAGTAGAACTGTGATTCAAGTATTTCAGTGCTAGCCTTGAACAAAACAGCTTATGGATAGTGCCCAAGCCCTGAATTCAAATTGTAGAAACAGACCACAAAAACAGAAAAACAAAGTAGAACAAATATCATTCAAAAAATTCACATGGACAACTACTACATATAGTACAAATTTCTAGAATAGTTATCAGAAAGTTTAGACTGTATGTTCCAAAATATATTTGCCCATAATTTATACAACTAATTTTCTAAATCCCAAATAATTCATCAGAAATTATAAGCCAACAAAAGAATTATTTTTTCTTTTGTCAGTTGTGGGACTTGAACACTGGGCCTGGGCACTGTCCCTCAGCTCTTCAGATCAAGGCTAGTGTTCTACCACTTGAGCCACAGCGCCACTTCTGGTTTTCTCGTGGTTAATTGCAGATAAGAGTCTCACGTACTTTCCTGCCTGTTCTGGCTTTGAACTGTGATCCTTAGATCTCAGCCTCCTTAGTAGCAAGGATTACAGGCATGAGTCACCAGCACCCAGCAGCAGTTTTGGTTTTTTTTTTTAATCACACAAAAAAATTAATTTACAAAATGGGTTCAATGCAGTGCTATTTATGATTAAGCAAAATTATAAATTCCAACATTGATGGACAGGCTCCTGCTTGAGCATATGAAAAAGCTATGCATTCTTTTCATACAAAAGTGTATTTACATGTACATATAAAACTATTTTAAAATGGATAATAGGTCTAAGTGAATTCACCTAAAAAAAAAAAAGACATACAAACAGCCAACAAGTACATGAAAAAAATGCTCAACATCTCATCATTCAGACCATAATGAGTATTGCTTCACTCCAGTAAAAATAGCTATTATCAAAAAATAAAAATATAACAAGGTGTTAGGCAAGAATATGGGAAAAAAGAGGAAATTCTTTCATAGTAAGAATGTAAATTAGTACAACAATTAGCAAAGACAGTGAGGAGTTAGGTTCCTTAAAAAATCAGATTTTATGCTGGAAATGAACTATACAACTTAGGGGATAGGAAGGCTAGGAGAAAACGAGGGAAGGGGTGACACTGTTCAAAAAGAAATGTAGCTGTGAGTTTGGCTTAGTGGTAGAGTGCTTGCCTAGCATGCATGAAACCCTCAGTTAGATTCCTCAGAACGACATACACAGAAAAAGCAAGAATTGCCACTGTGGCTCAAGTGGTAGAGTGCTAGCTTTGAGCAAAAGAAGATTGAAAACAGTACCCAGGCCCTGAGTTCAAGCCCCAGGACTAGCAAAAAAAAAAAAAAGAAAGAAAGAAAGAAAACAAGAAATATACTCATTACCTGACTTATATAACTGTAACCACTCTGCAATTTTTTTGAAGTATCAGGGAGCAGTAACAACAACAACGACAAAACTCAGACTACCACGTAATCCAGCAATCCTACTCATAGGTATATATCCAAAGAAAGTGAAATCAGTATGCCAAAGAGATACCTGCCATGTTAAATTAAGTGCAGCACAATTCACAATAGCCAGGAAATGGAAACCACGTAACTGTTCATCAACTAATGAATGGATAAAGACAATGTGAACATATATATAAAGGAATCCTGTTTAGCTATTAAAAATATATGAGACTTTCATTCACCACAGCATAAATGGCAATAGAGATACATACTTCACTAGAATAGGCCAGGCTTAGAAACAAATACATGACCTCATTCATATATAAAATATAAAAGTTGATTTCCTAGAAGTTGAGTGTAGAATGGTGGTTACCAGAGGCTGGGGGGGAGAGTAATAGGGAGGGAGGATAGGTAAAGACTACCCAACGGGTATTAAGTTTTAGTTGGAATAAGTAATTCTGGTATGCTATTGTAGTAACTGGTATGACTATAGATAATAATGTAGTATATACAATTCAAAAAGGCAGAAGATAAAACTTTTAAGTTTCATCACGGAAAGACAATAGATATTTGAGGAGCTATGTTTAAGTATTTTATGTATTTTTATCAGCCATCAAAGCACTAGAATGTATCAACATGTAAAATGTCTTTTATGAACTAACTTTTTTAATTTAAAAATACATGTATGTGAATTGGATAGAGTGGCCCAAGTCTATAATCCTAACTACTTAAGAGGCAGAGATTGGAGGATTGCAGTTTGAAGCTAACCTATGCATAACAGTTTGAAAAACTATCATTTCAATCACTGAATGGGAAATGTACAATATGTCTGTTAACCCAGCCATGAGAAAAGCCCAGAATGGGTGCAGTGCATGCATTAGTGATCGGTGACACAGGGAATCACAGCCCAGCCAACCTGAACTTTTTGTTGTTGTTGTTCGGTTGTGGGGCTTGAACTCAGCCTCAGCGCTGTCCCTGAGCTCTTCAGCTCAAGGCGAGTGCTCTACCTCTTGAGCCACAACACCACTTCTGGTTTTCTGATGGTTAATTGGAGGTAAGAGTCTCATGGATTTTCCTGCCTGGGTTGGCTTTGAACCATGATCCTCAGATCTCAACCTTCTAAGTAGCTAGGATTACAGGCATGAGCCACCAGCACCCAGCTCAACTTGGACTTTTTATAAAGAAACACTCTACCTAGAAAATAAGCAATGGAAAAAGGGGCTGAAGGCATAGCTCAAGTGTTAAAGCATCTGCCTAGCAAACATGGGGGAAGGGTCCTAAATTCAATCATCAGGGCTGGGTTCAATCACCAACACCTCCAAAAAGAGAAACAACAAAATTATGCATGTATAAGTTTAGTATACATAGAGTTAAAGCTCTAAAAGTGTTTATTTTATTGTAACCAGCTAATCAGCTACATGAAATACAACAAATTATGAAAACTGAAATATATTTTAATTGGATAGGATATAGTTTAATGTATTTTGTTGGACAGGAAATGAAAATACATTTTCTATAAAAACATGTTTGTTTTATGTAAAGCTATTTGTCAAACATTAAAAGTAAGAGAAAGCCCGGCACTGGTAGCTCACTGGTGCCTACTGGTGGCCTATAATCCTAGCTACTCAGGAGACTGAGATCTGAGGACTGCAGTTCAAAGCTAACCTGGGTAGGAAAGTCCAAGAGACTCTTATCTCGAATAAAACACCAGAAAACTGGAAGTATCATGTGACTCAAGTGGTAAAGCACTAGCCTTGAGCTGAAGATCTGAGGGACAGTGCCCAGGCCCAGAATTTAAGCCCCATGACCAAACAAAAAAACAAAAAAAAAGTAAAAGTATAATGATTAACATTTCTAACAAAAATTCAAAGAATTATTTCCACTTCAAATACACAAATATTTAATTTTTTATGGATAGAAAAATCAAGTTTCTTTCAAGTGAGAAACTTAGTATTAAATGAGTATATAGGGTCAAGTCTTACTTGTTTGTAGTCTGTCTTTCTAAAATGTTCTAAGGCCAGTTGTACACGTTTAAAAGTATCTAATTCTTTTGTTAATATTTTCTTCTGTTCAGAAATCTTCAAACTGGATGTAGAAAGGTTAGGCTGATAAAATATAAGAACATATTTTAATACATAGCATTAAGTAAAACATTCTAAAATATAGTAGTATCAAATAATAGTTTGTCTAGTAACTAAGTCATTCTTTTGCATAAAGTAATAGTAAATATTCCAACTTTATTAATAGTAGGTAGGATCTGTTGCATGATCAATAAAATAATAACTAAGACCTACATTCTAAACACAGTTCAGTATTTATTCTAAGGATTATAGAATATAATTTATTTTGGTCCTTAACTCAAACTTGTATGGTATGTTTTAAAATTATTCCAAATAATACGATTGACTTTAATTCCACCCAGAAAGTTTTATTCTAAGATTATTCTTAAGTTCAAGACCAAGTAAGTCAATCACTAAAATATGTTTCCTTTATGGAAAGAATTACAGTTATTGATACAGGAATAAAGAACATTATAAATACCACTTGGGTATTAAATTGTCACATATGAACACACTTACTTAGAATGAGACCTCAGTTAATGCTTTTATAACTATGGTAGTTTTACATTTTTAAATGTTTGTAAATCAAATACTCACATTGTCTATACAGATTCCTTCAACGGTGTTCTTAAATAATGGCAAAAGTAATTCTACAGAACAGGCTGCCAGCTCAGCTTCCTTAAGTGTTGCCTTCAATCCAGTCTTTTCATTTAAGAAGTCTTGATTCAGGCTGATTACAAGTGAAAAAAAAATCCAAGTTAAATCAATCATAAAAAATGAGTTACATTTTTATATAAATATACCACAAATTAACTATTATAGATCAATCAATTGCTCTGCAAAATATGCTAAGAAATTGTCACTGAAAATGTGGGCATTTTTCCTAGATGTGTGTATTTCATCCATACACAGAATAGTTTTTCTATACAGTTTCTATATACAATTTCTATGCAGTTTTTCTATATAGTTTCTACACACAGAATAACTTTTATTAAAACAAAAAGATAGCTGGGTACCAATGGCTTACACCTATAATCCCAGCTACTCAGAAGACTGAAATCTGAGGATCATGGTTCAAAGCCAACCCAGGGGGGAAATTCCATGAGACTCTTATCTCCAATTAACCACCAGAAAACCAGGAGTGGTACTGTGGCTCAAGTGACAGAGTGCTTGCCTTGAACCCAAGAGCTCAGGGACAGCACTGAGAACCATAGTTCAAGCCCCATGACCAAAAAAAAGAAAAAAGAAAAAAAGGCTAATATAAATATTTTGATTTGTAAAATGAATCTGTTAATGTATAGATCTTTTTTCCTTTCCTTCATTCACTTACTACTTATTTAAAAGATATGCCTTTCTAAACCATGAAAACATTCTCAAAACAAATGCAACACCAAAGCTAAAGCAATCCTCCAGGTATCTAAAATCCTTCACATTCAGTTTCAGAACGTATCTATTATCATTTTAAAAGTCGAAACTATAGTCTTCTTACTTATGTTCAGCTGGATACTACCATCTCAATCCTCATGAGCCACAAGGAAGTCTTGACCTGTCCCTATCAGCACATACCCAAAATTATAGAACGATCTGACAAAACTTTTAACTCAGAAACAAGGTTTTAACATTTACTTAACTTCTGGGAATAGCAGATGTTAGAGAAGAATTGAGTGAGATGTTGAAGTAGGAAAGTTTATCAATATCCCAAAATCATTTGAAAGGTTTGGAGCATGTGCTGATAAAATACTTGTCAATCCTGCCCCCAGTTTGACAAGGATTTAATTTAAAATGTTCCTGTGAAAGGTTTAGCCCCAAATTATCTGAAATTTTGGTTGGAAGCTATTTGTTTTCTTTACAACATTTTATATCAACAGTAATAATTGATGTAATCTTCCCAGCTATGTCATGTAGATTTTGTTCTTAAGCATCACTAGGTTAAAGCAAAGGGCAGAGAAAACTAAGACAAAAAACTGTCCATCAATAAACCAATGGACAGCCAGGTACACACTTGATAGCCTAAACACTCAGGAGGAGGAGATCTGAGGCTCACTGTTCAAAGCAGGTGAGTTAAGAAAGTCCATGAGACTCATACCTCCAATTAACCAGCAAAAAAATAGAAGTACAATTGTAATTCAAGGGACAGAGTGACAGCCTTGAACAATAAAGAGAAGGGACAGTGCCCAAGCCCTGAATTCAAACACCAATACCAGCAACAAAAAAAGAAAAAAGAAAAAAAACAGTAGACAGAAAGTCAGGAATTACTACAAATAAAACATTTCATTCATAACAAGTAAACTAGCTGGACTATATTATCAATAATGACATGATTGGTATTTAAAGATTACTATTTAGTGGAATAATGATTCATATACATGAGTGTATTTCTCATTTTAAAAAAGTAAAATACACCAAAGTTGTAAAGTTCGTTTTCGACATACGACTTGTACGTCTCATTGTTGTAATGGGTCAACTTTGGTGAGGGGGGGGGGAGGGAGGACGGTTGGGTGGGGGGGTGGGAGGGCGGGGAGGATGGTATGGGAAGGGGAAACAAAGGAGGAGGCTACAATGCTTGATAAGAAATGTACTCATTATCTTGCCCATGTAATTATAACCCCTCTGTACAGTATTTTCACAATAAAAAAAACTTAAAAAAATATAAGAAATATTTGCTATACAGCAATATCCCAAAGGACAGTATATTAGTATTCATCAGCTATACTTCTTTTTTTGGGGGGGGTCTGGTCGTGGGGCCTGAATTCTGGGCCTGGGTGCTGTCCTCAGCTCTTCAGCTCAAGGCTAGCGCTCTACCACTTGAGCCACAGCGCCACTTCCAACTTTTTTCTTTTTGCTTATGTGGTGCTGAGGAATCAAACCCAGGGCCTCAGGCATGCAAGGCAAGCGCTCTACCACCAAGCCACCTTCCCAGCCCCATCAGCTATACATCTAATACCCATATTTTTTCTAGCTGTTTTTCCTTTATTGTAAGGTAATGTACAGAGGGGTTACAGTTACATAAGTAAGGAAGTGAGTACATTTCTTGTTTAACTTGTTATTTTTTGAATATTTTATTATCTTTATGTAGTTAGACAAAGGTGTTGCCATTCACTGAAGCAGTCTATGAACACAGTGCATCTTGATCAATATCACCCCTTTCAACATTCTCACCCACCCCTCCCAACCCACCACTTCTCTTACTTTTAGGGCATGTATTAATTTTTTTGTCAGTTAGCAAAACAGTTTATGTGTACAATGCACCTTGACCTGTGTCATCACTTCAACATCTTTACCCCCTTCAACCTACCCCATCCCTTACAGTTCTCAATTTTATGGTGTATATACAATGAATACTTCCTTACATTGTTACATTATCTGAGTTAAAAAGATTTACTTTATAAATTCTTAAACAGGCTTTACCATTCCATCATTAAGATACACAAGTACAACGACAACAAGGTGGCTTATACCTGTTATTTCTAGCACTCATTGGTAAAGGCAGGGTTATCTCAAGTTGGAGGCTAGCCTGAGCTATGGAATAAAGAGACTTAGTCTGAAAAACCTGAAAAAACTAAATTCTGCAAAATTAATATATTTGTAGTTGGATTAAATAAATATATTTTAAAGATAATTGCTAAATTTGTAAAAGATACTTTGAAAGAATACATATTATGGACAAAACATAACATACTAAAATCAGAAAACTAGACTTCCCCAAATAATGATGACAATACCTGCTGATATGTCCATCACTGGCATAAAATTGCAAATGCTCTTTGGAATGACTACCATCATTGGTAAATGTCTCCATAAATTCAGTAAATAGATTCAGTAACTTCTCCACAGAAACTGAAATTTAGGAAAAATTTTAGTTATTAAACATCATTTCAGTAGACCTTTTTTCCTCTCATTACCCTATGATATAACATAAAGACTCAAATTTTGATGTAAAAGCACATTTCAAAGATCAAAATTTTAACTACTACTCACTGTTACACTAAAAATAGACCAAAATTTCATAGCACACTGATCAATTGCCAATTTCCATATACTGTTTCCAAAAGGCTTGTTAGTCTCTACATAATTATGAAAATAGAAATCTTTATTAGTCTATTTCTTGAAGTATTATACTTTTAGTACTGTATCTCATCCAATTGAGAAAAAAAACACACAAACAGAATTAACAAAGATACTCAGATTACATGCTCATTCAGTAAGAAACATGGTATTCATGCCTAGAACTGTACAAATTAAACATACTTTTAAATGCATTTGATACGTGCTACAAAGAAGACAGGTTATCCTTTTGAAATTAGCCTTTTCCAAACTAAATTGATTCATCCCTATTCCTGGATAGTCTTTCTTTGGGAATAATAAAAATAGATAAATGACGTCCAAACTTTAAGAAAGAATCTGTTTTCTTTCAAACATAAAGATGTCTTCTTAAATGTGAATGTCTATAAATTTCTTCGACCCTGTTCCAATTTAGTAGTGAGTTTGACCTTTATCAACTACCAAGGCTATATTTTCACAATGTATTTTCCTGACTTAATTTTATGCTCAAACAAAATCACAGATTATATTCAAGAATTTTTTTGCATTGTTTTCAAATAATCATGATCTCAAGGATACTCAGTGAAGGAATACAAAGGTGCAATGCTTATGTACTTCTGATCATATGAAATAATATTTATCAAAATAAACTCAAAGAAATGGTAATGAGGCTTTATTCGTTGTTGCTGTTTTTGTTTTTGTCTCCTTTATCCATCTTTGGGAAGCCAAGAGGGGCGGTGCACAGAAATGGAGGGACAAAGGGTGAACAAATGCTACAGTGGTACACTATGTTGAAAATGAACTATACAACTTGTGGGTGGGATGGGAAACAGAGACCAAGAGGGAAGGAGTGACATTGTACAAAAAGAAATACACTCATTTCCTGACTTATGTAACTGTAACCCCTCTGTACCTCAACTTTAGAAAAACAAAACTTAAAAATAAAAATAAAATTTTTTAATATTTTAAGTAGAATATGAAGTTGCAGGTTTAAAATTATTCAAATTTAATTAGCAATTCAAAAACTTCTCAAATTGTAAAAATGTATTAATTTTGTGTGAATATTGTGTAGGCTGCAGAGACAAATGTTTAGGATATAAGTCAATGAATATCCTCATGTTTTTTAAATGCCAGAAGCTGAAATCCAAATGGAACTGCTAACTATCATATAGCTTAAGTTGATCCTCTTGGCTGCAGAAAACATGAAGCATCACAAGGGCAATATGATACTTTGGGCTATTTATAGTCTAGAGGAATTTAAAATATTTGCACATACACAAATCAAGTAAGTCAGAGCAAATTTATTTATATGCAATAGCTACGGCCTCTTAGAAAGGAACTGTTTTTTACCTTTAAATTATGTTTCTGTAGATTGGAAATTGCAAGATTTTTTTTAAATGCTACTGGAGTTTGAATTTTGGTCCTCCTGTTGGTGCTCTACTTCTTGAGAGATGTTTCTAACTCTGTTTTCTGCTGGTTATTTCAGAGATGAAGAAGCACAAACTCTTGTCAAGGCTGACTCTTAGTGTCATCTTACGGATCTCAGCATCCTGAATAGCAAAGAAGAATGAACTACTGACATTTGGCAAAAAAAGGAATGTCTTATTTATAATTGAATGCTAAACACTAAGAGCTTAATTAGATTAAACAATAATCAGAGGAGAGAATCTAGAGTTTATAGCCCTCAGTAAATATGATTAATAGACTGCATTCTTTCTTATTCATACTTTGTTTCATCATTTTAGGATTAAAAGAAAATTGTTCCTATATCATAAAACCTTAAAACAGCCTAAGAATATAAGAAGCTTCAGTTTACATAACATATTTTGCAGGCTGAGATCTGGTTTAGTATCATTATTTTAAATAAGTTCTTACTTGGCTTTGGGAGCTAATGGCAGCCATATACACAACTATTTTAAAAGGTTTATCACAAGATAAAATTTTAAGACCAAAATTTTTTTCTTCATCTATAGTTGTGATTATCTTAAAGAATAAGCAAACACAGTTAAGTCATTGGGAAAATAACAGAGATCTAAAAATGATATCTAGCCCAACATTCTATAAAGCTTTCATTACAGAGCTTTTAAAGTACAGTGAATGAAATATGTAAGTCTCAGATACTTCCACAGAAAGTATCAGTAACTATATTCTCAAGGACAAAGATTACTTAGATACTATGCCTGATCTTAGCCAAAAAGCTGAGAAATGACAAGGAGAAAAAAATATTCAGAGGCTCAATGGCACATCACTAATTCTGTGTTGTTATAATTCTATAGACAAACATATATGTATACTAAACAAAAATATATTTTCTGTAGTATATATACTTTGCTTATAATTGCAACACTCCAGGAGCCTGAGGCAAGAGAATTGCAAATCCTAGGCCACACAGGCTACACAGCAAGACTGTGTCTCAAAAACAAAAAACAAAAACCTACCTTTGCAAAACATATTATCATTTTAATTGACAAATGTATATTTTTATGAAGCAGATGTTTTGCAATAAAATGTTTTAATTATGTGGAATACACTGCCAATTGACAAAAGTATTGTGCTTCTGTAGAACTTGTTTATGAAACAAAGATGTCTATTCTGCAAACTTATGTAATAACCAAATCCTTAAAGATTACTAATTTTTTTTTTTTAAGTCTTTAAAAGTCTGGGCGATGGTGACTCACACCTTTAATCCTAGCTACTCAGGATGCTGAGATCTGAGGACAGCAAAGTCCGTGAGACTCTTTATCTCCAATTAACCACCAGAAAACCAGAAGTGGTACCTTGACTCAAGTGGCAGAGTGCTCGCCTTGAGCTGAAGAGCTCAAGGACAGCGCCCAGGCCCAGAGTTCAAGCCCTATGACTGAGGCCCACACCCTCCCAAAAAATGTCTTTGAGAAATTATTTGAAGAAATTAGTATCCTATGTAAGAATAACATTACCAAAAATGCATATATTTAAATCTTTTCCCAGAAGTGTTCATGGAGTATGCTGATGTAGCTACATTCATTCAGCCATTTTTGGTCATTGTGGCCAACATGTGTTTGACAGATAGCTGTTCAAGGACAATGATACTGCAATGGTCAGAGAAAAAGAAAATCTAATGATGACCTCTTAGCCTCTCAATCACTGTTACGTAAACAGACCAACATCATACAAATACAACTAATTTCTCTGGAGGAAAAAAAGGTATGAATCCTTCAGACTTTTGTTTCCCCTAACATTGATTTTTGAAAAAGACTTCAAACAAAAGCACACAGTCTCTCTGGGAAAAAAAAAAAAAAAAACCATGAAATACTTTACAAGGATCATAAAGTTGTTGGAATGCTGCTTTTGTTTTCTCCCTCTCCCACTATTCTGCTATCTAGTCAAAATGCATGTAAAAGGTAACTATGGTATCGTAACATTTCATAAAAGAAAAGAAAGTATAGGAAACTTGGGAATAGTGGGAGAGGGAAAATGACCAGAGGGTAAAAAAAAATTTTTTTAATGTTCTGAGTAAAAGCTAAATCATGTTCTGAGTAAAAGCAAAAATTGGGAAATAACTTTTTCTGATACAAAAAGATTATTAACTTGAATAACTAGCTATAACGTTCTACAATGAAAAAAAAGGGAATCTTTAAAGGAGCTATAATGAGGGAGTATAGGGGGAACACTAACAGCAAAATGTCTGAACCAATACAGAACATGTACACTTCAAGGCCTAAGGTGGGATTTCCCTTCTCAAAGCTACTGTAGTGAAAACTCCAGCCTATCAAGAACCCTAAATAACTAATTTTCACAATCAAGAGTGTTCATGTTTCTCTGCTCTTATCTAGCTCTTCTCTTTTCTAGCTATTTTCTCTCTTTTCTAGCTCTCTCTTAGCTCTTTTCCCCAGCTCTCTCTCTTTCTCTCTCTCTCCCAGCTCGCTCTCTTTCCCAGGCCTTTCCCCACCATGTGGAGGACCAAGATGGCCTGGTGCCAGCCTGAACGATGAATAAACCTACCCCTTACTTGAAAAAAAAAAAAAAGAGTGTTCATGTTTTAGCTTTTGTTTAAATTTGCTACTAACTCTGTAAGAGCAAATATACCTAACACTTTCTGCTTCGAAAATTACCTAAGACAGTGGCAGCCTCCAAAGGGATCTTAAATAGCTATAAGGATGAACAAACCATGTTTTTATTCAGCAGGACACTGCTGACCTGTAGTGGGCCAATCTGTACAGACCAACTACTCACGAAGACAGTACCAAAGATGTTTAGAATACCATGTAGTCACAAATAAAGTCAATATTCTTTACCAAATAAAAGTTTTCATTCAACTTGATGTCTACTTTTGTCACTTACTTAGCAATTTATATCATCTCACAAAAAGCTTTCTAGAGGTGCTAGTAGCATCTAGTACCTATAGGCAAAGGGAAACAAGGTTTCCTCTTAGAACTGGTTTGCCCAAAATCACAAGAACTGGTGGGGCTGTTTTGAACTAAAAACCATGAGATACTAATATATGAGTGAATATAAAGATCCACACCACACAAAGCAATGTACAAACTTTACTTAATACAGTCAGGTCTTTAATACCACTCACAAATTCCAATTATACTCAAAAGATTAAAATTGTTCTGGTCAAAGAATGAGGAGGATTCAGAGTGAGGTAGGTACAGGGAAAACCTAGCGAGAGAGCTGTGACTTAGACCACTTAAACCCGGTACTTCTCCTTTATCGCATCACAAACGTCTACAGAAAAATAATCAGGAATCCTGGAAGAGGACTTCTTTCCTGGGGACTCCAGTGGCACGTGCCTCACTTTAAATTGCTGCAGGGCTTCTCTGAATCTGGAATTTAATTTGTTAGATGCTTGAAAAAAAAGAAACAAGGGATTAGGCAGTATTATTTCTGAAGCTCAGCCCTCATCTGGGGTTTGCACTGGACAAGCCCACCTCTCGCTAACACAGGCCCCAAAGTCCCAGGGCCAAGTCGACCCGCCGCCTCTTTGGGGTACACCGAGGGTGAACACAAGAAACACGCCACGCCAGGGGGTACAGCCCGGGGGGTCGCCACAACTGTCAATTCCTGGACCCGCCCCAGTCCCAAACCTCCGAGGGTGGCGGCCAAAGCAATCGCTCAGACAGGCAAACGGTTCCCATGGCGCCAGCAGGACCCTGCCCACGCCCCCCACAAGGCCCGCCGCGGCTCGACCCCCGCCGCTGCGTTAGCACGTCACCGTGACGTCAGCCGCCGCGACCCACGAAGGGCCAGGAGTCCTCGGAGGGTGACGTTCCGCGGTGGGTGTGGGAAGGCCGCCCAGTGTACCTGTGATATCCTTCTGGGTTAGCTGGGAGGAAACGGGAAGCGTAGAGTGAGTGAAAGTCTAAGGATGGAGGCAGACGTCGGGAGGCCAGAAGCAGGAGGATTCCTTGAACAGCTTGAGGACCAAGAGTGCCCTTCTAAGGGGTGTTGTAGCATAAACGCCGTGTTGGTAACCGGCGAGCGGCTTCTCTGGCAACCCCTGTCCCGCCCCTTCCGGCGTCCCGCAGCCGGCGTAGTTGATTGGTCCCTGCTCGGGAGAGCGGGCTCCTAGCCTGCTTCTACCGGCGGAAGTCTGGAGGCGGAACCAAGGTGATTTTCTTTTCCCTTCCTCAAGGCTTTGTTTTATTTGAAGGGCAGCACTTGTGCTTAGTTACCGGAAAACGTAACTAAGCTCATCCACCACAGAAAACAAGACTGATTCCAGAAAGGTCTGGAAGTGTTCTCGTTTTGTTTTAAAGGGGAGGTTGGAAAAAGCCAAAGCAATTGAAGGAAACCTTACCTTTAGTGTATGACGTTTATTTTACCTGGGGCTCAGGTGTCTTTTTAGCCTGTGAAGAGAACTGAATTGTGGTGTTGGAAGTGCCTCCAGAAAGCCAGCTCCTGATATCTGTCCTACAGCCATCTGGTATGATTTTTAAATGGAATAAGAGTAGCTTAGAAATTCATTCAGTATTTCTGTGCTCCTGATATGAGTGTGCTTAGAGCAACTATTAACAGCCGCTTAACCATGTATGCTCCCATCTCATATTTGATTTTACTGAAGAGCATCTGCAATTCAATTCAGCGATGCCTTATTTTTTTCCAGCCCTATGATTACCCAGCAAAAGGTCATGAAAGTTAAATTTTTCTAACGAGTAATAATTATGCCCTGTTTACAAAGTGATGGAGATTGAAATTTATCACGGATAGTTTGTGGCCTTCGGCAAGTCAACTAACTTCTCTAAGCCTATTTTCTAAGAAAAGGAAGAGGAGACTGTGGAGTTGGGGGCATCAGTGGCTCAAGCCTGTATTGTAAACCTGTCTACTCAGATCTAAGAAACATGGTTCAAAACCAACACAGGCAGACATATCCAATTAGCTAATAAAAAGCAGTAAATAGAGCCGTGGTTCATGCAGTAGAATGCAAACCTCCAGGAAAAAAAGTTGGGAGACAACACTAGGCCCTGCACTCAAGCCCTCAGTATGGTAACATAAAAAATAAAATAAGATGTATACACAATTCTGGTCTATTCAGTGTTAACCAGGGATTCTAGCTTAAGTTACTAACCTATCATAATGAAAGAAATAACTGTAAGTGGCACTGTGGCTCAAGTGGTAGAGCTCTTGAGGAGCTGAGGGATAGTGCCCTGGCCCAGACAAAATAAATAAATAAAAAAATAACTGTAAAAAGAAGTTCATTCTTAATGTATGCATTATCCTGACCATGTAATTGTAACCCCTCTGTACAGTATGTTCTCAAATAAAATAAAATTAAATTAAAAAAAAAAAGAAAGATAAAAAAAAAAAAGAAGTTCATTCTTTTAATCAATGTGTTCAATTAATTGTATTGCTGTTGTAGTGGGGACATGCATTGAGACCACTTAGTTCACAGTGAAAGTGTAGAAGATTTTTATTGAGCGAAAAGTGCTGCGGTGCCAGGAGTCGAGAACCTTAGAAACGGCCCCTGAGTGCTAGCCCACATTGGCTTTTAAGCATTTTTGGCTGGGGTGGGAAAAGGGGGAGGTTGGGTATTGATTTTAGGCAATAATTGTTACAAGCAATTTGCACCTTAAGTTTAAATTTCCCACCAAGGTTTTGCTAGTGGGAAGCAGGGGAATAGAACAAAGGGTGATGATGGTTCAGCTGGGTTAGGACTGGCATTGTTCAGAAAATAGCAGAAGCAGAGTTACAGTTACTAGCTAAAATAGCTAGTTAGTTGCCATATCCACAGAAAGCACAGTTACATTTATATCTTAAAATCATTCATTATCCATTTTACACAATCCAATTTTATATTCCATCCTTATTTCCTCCACCATATCACTATCAGATGTAATCATAAAGCAATCATAACATCTAAAAGATTTCCTGTAAACATATAGTCTCAAATTTACAATTTTAACTGAATTGTCCAAGTAGACTAAGTGGCATCCCAATCTATATCTAATCTGTCCCTAAAACCAGATGCAATAGTGAGTTTTGTGACAGGAAAATGAGAGAAACCATTCCAGCCCATCACAAAACCCTAATCTTCTAAGTATTAGAAGGTGGACAGTGGATCATGTAGGGAAAGAAAAAAAAAGTCTAAGGATTTCTACTTCATGGAAATAAAAGAAATATTTTATTTCATGGAGTTGAAATATTCTGTAAATAGTTA